CGGACCAAACAGAAATCGATCACCCAAGTCCAATGCAAGAGGACTGAGAACCACTGAAAATGGCTTCCACAAGCCTTTCATGGACCTCGTCTTCATTGCTAAAGTAACTTCGCTATTATTGAATTTTGATTGCGTGCTTCATTTTTGTTTTCATTTTTAAGTTGTGCCTGCACTGAACTATTTTTAGCTATCACAATGTTGGCAAATTGGATTCTATATTGAGTGTGTGAGCAAAATTGTTCTCTGGCCAAAGTATATGATATTTGGAGGTGTGTTTCATTTTTGATGTGTTTCTGTAGGAAGGCACGCTGATTAATTTGGTTTTGTGCAAGTTATTACTCAACTACATGCAATTTCCCATATATATATTGCTTACTACAATAATCTCTGAAGGAGATCAGTTTGGTGTTCTTAAAAGAGTTGGCTTTGTAGCAGGTATTGCTACAAAATTCATCATCCATCTTTTATGTTTCCATGTTTCTTAACTCTTATATGGTATGGGCCACTGAACTCTCCAACGATGCCTTATGTGTATTCGGCTGCTGCTTAGGGACACAAATTGACGGATCTCTCTTATATATAGAGAAGGGAACTGCGTTTTCGATGCCTTAGTGATTGCAGCGGTTTCTCTCCCGATTGGGCAGATACTTCTCCCGGTAGATACCCCTTCGTCGATTAAAGGCCTCTTTCGAGCAGATGCTGACGGTCTTCCGATTTTCCGTTTCAGGTAGCAGGCTTATTTGGCTTAGTTAGCTTAGGGCTTAGTATTGTTGATGCCTTAGACATATTGCCTTTGGCTCTTTGATACTTAGACTACCTAGACTTGTCTTGTCTGCTTGCTACTAGGATTGTATAGTAGAACTAGCGTATGGCTTGATCCCATTTGAGTACGTCGGCAGCTCACTTTGGGCGCAACCATTACAAAATACAAAAAAAAAAAAAAAAAAAACTCTTATATGGTATGGATTTTTCGATTTTTGGTTGATCCGTGTGTCCTAATTAACTAATTTAAGATAACTTGTAGTTATAATTTACATAAGGAAGACTTGTTTGGTATCAATATTTGTACTCTTGGTTCTTTTTACTGTTTTCAAGTTGGAGAGGGCAACCCATCATTTTCTTCTTGTATCCATATTATTGTTTTTGGAATTTATAATTAATTACATTTTATGTGTACCAACAATCATTAGTAGATGCAAAGCTATATCAGACCAAAGATACTTGCAGGATCCTTGAAGTCAATGGAGGATATGAACTTTTTGAGGACCATGCCATGCAGAAAAAAAAAATTTCTTGAATAATGTTACTATGTTAGGGAAGCATTTACTACCATTGCATTATCCAAATGTTCACTGAAATGATATATTTTTACATAGCGGTGGATGTTATTTTGGGCTTTGCACGGATTAAGAAAATTGAATATTTTATTAAAAAAATAGAAAAAGTAAGTGGTATTTATTTTTGGGGTATTTTTGAAAATTTAATTAGAAATTGAGAATTGATTAAGAATGTAATAAAGTGAGTGATATTTATTGTAAATAAGTATTGAATGAAGGATAATAATTAAATTTTGACTTTTTATTTTTCCAAATATAATAATGGGGTAAATTTAACGTACAGACAAAAAAAATGAGAATAAATTTGAAGGACAGAGTGAGTATATAATATTTTGTATGGGAAGAACACAAGGCTATAAGGAAGCAAGGGGATCATATAGATTGGAAAGTCTGTAAGAAAAAAATAGAATTCACTTCTCATGTACGTAACTAATAAGACATTGTAGAAATTTGATTTCAAATTCTCAATTTATATTTATATAGGAAAATTCGAGCATATGTATATTTATGTATAAATGAATTAATTAATTATCAAATCAAATCAAAATAATTGCCTGTCATAAACGAGGCATTACATACCACTTGTTTTCATTAGTACAATTGGAAATTCTATTATCTTATGCATTCCAATTATTTTCATTATTAGCCTTCAAATTTGTTTGATTGTACATTGGAAGCTTGCTTGAATGCTTTCATGACAAATACAATTTGCATCGCATTCATTTGGAAAATTATTTTGACGATCGTCTACATTGCAGGGGATTGGAGCTTCAATATATAAAATTGTTGCTATATAAAGCAATGGGTTTGGATCAATCCTGGGTTAGGGTTAGGGAATGACAACCATTTACATGGGCAGACGTCTTTTTGAAATTTACCTAAATGTAAATACCAAACTGAAGTTTTATATATTTTCCTATTAAAATTCAAAAGAACTTACTTAAAAAATAATAACACTCTTACAGTTACATTGTCCCTTATTTCAAAAAAAGAAAAAAACTATACATTTATTTTCATACATAAGATCATTTTTTTCACTGGGTGGTTAATAAGACATTGGAAGAATTTGTTAGATCATATTATACTGCCAGCTATTATTCACTTTGGACTTCTCCAAGCCTAATTTATTTTAATTTTAGTTTTTCACATATTAGAGCAGAGTGCATAAGTAAGCGATCTTTTTTTTTTTCCCTCTTTTTCATTAAGAATGGAGAATCATAGAAATATTGTTTCTTTAAAGTTTAGTTCATGATCAATATTAAATATGAAGAATCTAATATTTTTGACATGATAATCACTTTGCCGTTTGCACGGGCTTAACCCCATAATGTTTTTATTTTTTTTTCTTCGAAATCCTACTTATATGGAAAGGTTAACAAACTTTCATTTGTTTCTAAGTTACATGATATTGCAGTGGATATTATGTTTCTCATCCAGAACTTTTATATTGCAAAAGTGTTTTCACAATTTCATTCAAGTTTCTTTCGGGTGGGTAGCATCATGGTTGACAAGACAGATTTTTGAAGCATACAATCAAACCCATGGCTGGTGGATTCGTGAGGTTGTATAGTTCTTGATAATTTCGTATCCTTTAAAGAAAATGGTTAACTAACTAGAGACAAATCTTTGACTTCATGGCCAAAAAGAAGCTACGTAAAATTCACCCCTTTTCATCTTGCCAAGTGGCATACAAATTTTCCTTTTCTAACCTTCTTGGGCTCCTCTCATCTCTGCTTCAGGTGAAGTATATGTAGAGAAATAATAAAAATTGGCTCCTATCTTAACTAATGGTATTCCAAGTCTAATTCTTATTTTTCAAAAGCTTCATGGACCGGTATGTTTATGCTCAGGGTTCGCTGCTTGTACCCTCATACTTGTCAAGGCAGAACACAATATGTGGATTCCATCTTATATCAACTTCCAGGTGATAGATGCGCTCTCCGTCCGCATAACTTCTAGGTAGTTAGTATGATCTCTCTTATTCATCCATAGCTATACATTGTTCTTTTGTTTCCTACAAAATTAGAGGGCTCCGTTTAGATAGAGATATTGGGAGTTTTGAAATTTTAAATAATTTGGACAATAGTAAAAAATTGAGTATTTGAAGTCATTTTGTGGGAGGAATAAATATTTTATGTGAACTTTTTTTCAAAAAAAAAATTATTTTTGATTAACCGTACCAAAGTTTTTGAAAGTATGCATATTAATAGTCATTGATTTTGTACAATAAATCAATAATATATATATCTTTTCTATACTTCAGTGCAAATATATTTTTCCGCGTGTATTTTGATCCTAATATAATATAATTTTTGTTCAGGGACTGTAATGAATGTTATTTATAGTGATCTAATTTTCTCTTTAGATGTGTATATATATATATATAAATCCTATCCTTTCAAATTTGTTACTTTCCTAACCTCCTTCAATGGTTGAAAAATTTCACTCATTTTGCCTCCTATTGGATGTGTTAATTTCAGATTGAGAGGCCTTTGAAAAGACACGGTTGGCAGGCTTGATGAAAATGAGAAATACTATGGCTCATGTTTCCGCAGAAGCTGTATTTTAAAAAAATATTTTAAATTGTCTTCTGTGCTTTTGAATGACTTTATCTTATTCTAAACCAAGCCCATATTGAAAATTGGATATTACAACGGATCACCAGGATAGTAATGTCGAATATTATTGTTAGCATTGCATTAAAGAGGTCATTTCATTACATAAACTAATGTTCATTTCTATTGTTTCGCCAGGGGTTATGAAATGTCCAGAATGCAAAGGCCAGTTTCCGGTTAGAATATCTGCAGACAATGTAAGATTTCTTGCTTTTATATTGTTATTTGATGAGTTGTTTCTCATTTTCGTTATGCTTTTTGGAATCTTAAATTAAGATAATTGCTTAAATTAAGTAAGTTGTGGTAGCTTGCTAATGTTTGTCTTTAGAGTGTAATTTTGGAACTTCATTCACAGTTTCAATATAAGGCCATTTAAACTTCCATCTCATAATTTCATTCCAATCCTATTTCCTTTTCATTGCTATATTGATTAAAATTCGGGTAATTATATGTCTGCCTGGTTTTTATTGTGCACCATTGTGCTTTTACATACGTTGGCCCATATCGACACGATGGGATGTGTCCTGGAATTGGCAGACAATCTCTCTGACTTCAGTTGCATGTGAATTGAGGTGTATTTACTCATGTACTGTCATACATTGCAAAGTATAATAAACGCCTACTAATTACGCTAGATCAAAATAACATTGTAATGTAGCATGAAATCTGAATGATTATTAGCCATGAAAAAGGGAGGCTTTAGGTCATGTATGTAAGAGTTGAGTTGAGTTGAGTTCTATTTAATTGGCGAATTACGTTGTTTCAGTGTTGTTTTCCTTGTTTTGGCTAAAGTTTGATGTCCTTGGAAAAAAATCTAATTACTTCTTTGGACAATTTTGTTTTGATAGGACTGATTTAGGCAGTAGCATTATAATCTTCTGGCCTTAAAGTTGAAGAGCTGAGTTTAGATCAAAAGGCTGAAATTATGTTTTTAGATCAAGGGTAAGAAACTTAAAATCATTATTAGCTTTTGTTTTGCTCTATATATTCTATAGTATATGTGTATATCATGTTTTTATCAAGTTATTATATGATTTTTCTGGCCAATAGTTAATTTCATTGTTTGGATAGCAACTGTGAGACAATTTCTTTAGAAACTACCACAATAGCATTAGATACAAAATATATAAAAGGTTTGATTGATTACCTATTCTATCAGCATCTATGCATCACGTGTTATTGTTATTGTTGCAGGTATATTCTTGGTTTGACATTATGCTTTGATATGACATATATGTGTTGCTTTTTTTGTTGTAGACTTCTCCCACTCTGAGGGATAAACTTAAGGAGAATATGGCTATTGCAAAACTTCTTACTGATGTTGATGATGAAAATGGTGAGTCTTTGATGAACTTAAAATCAGAATAAAGTCTTTACCCAATATGAAGACAACTCCAACTTCTCCTAAACCTGAAACCCAAATTTGCAATATAAATTGGTAACTAATGAAAGCTTGAATAATAATAACAATAAATAAATAAATAAAAATAATTATTGTTAATGTTTCAAACATATACAAAAACCTCATGTTTCCGTGGTTTGCAACTCAAATCACTTTTTTTATTTTTTATACAAAACAAAAAAAAAATAATTTCAGTAAATATAGTATTATTTTTTCTTGTAAAATATCATATCAAAATAATATTTAAATTAAAATTTAAATCCAAACAAACACTAAAATCTTAATTAAATTGTGAGATACAAATTCTAAATGGTAGAATAACAAATAAAATGATTGAATGCACAATACAAAATAAATAATAAAAGAAGAAAAATATGTGGAGAAGATCGAGTAATAACTGAAAAATATTACCTTTCTAAAAGGTCACAAAATTTATAATGAGACATCTTTTTGCTTTGTTAAAGCTGACTTCTTTTGATATTTTCCGTATATAAAAAAATTAAAAAAAATAAAAGTCGATCCTTTTTAAACTACATACTATGTTTTCCCACGTGAAAAGTATTGCTAACAATCACCATTTTGTGCAGATAATTATATGGCTTCATCAGTTGATTCTTCTGCTGACAAATAGAGGCAAAAAAGATTGCATCAATGTGATGAAAAATTAAATAGGAATAAGTTGAAAAGGAAAACAAAACTATGTGTTATTGGGGACGTGTATTGTCGAGAAAAATAAATTAATACCTTGCGAGTGAGTCGAGTTGAGTTGTCTTCCATTAATACCTTTCAAACATTCTTTGGTGGTTTTAAAAGTTATCAAAAACCATTCCACATAACCAGAGAAGGATAAGATTTCTTCATTAGTTGCATCTTTCAGAGATTGTCGCCCAAGATGATTCGAATTCAGATGCTCTGCTACGTTGACAAGAGAAAACATGTCCACTTCATAAATATCTCCGGTGTGCTGGAGTATAATTTGAGGATGAACTTCAACAACATCTTGCAGGACACTGATGGATTCGTCGACATTTTCTATTAGCTTTGTGTTTAGATGATGACGACCGAGTTCAGAAGCCTTTCGGAGGACCTCCAGTAGGCATGCTAAATCAGACCAGATTAAACTAGCAGACTCCGTCATTGTTGCCGTGACAGAACCAATTTGATATTCTCTCAGATCTTCATCCTTGTTAGGAAGTTCCCTCCAAGTTCGCAGTGAGTTGATATCATAGGAAGTGGCTTCATTATCGGCAACGACATCATCAATTTGTTCGTTTTCTTGCCCTTCCTCTTTAGCCACTGACAACGACTTTCTTATGAAGTCTATCTTTTCCAACAGCCTTTCCACATCTTCACGGACGCACTTACCAAGTATAGGCATCAAAGTTTCCGAGCGTAGCCTGTGGATCACAACCTCTGCTTTATGGGTAGCCTGGGCCATTTCTCTTGCCAAACTTTCCATTTCTTGGCTTTTTTTTAGGTGATAAAGTTCAACAAAGTCCTTGAAAATATGGATGACTTCCTCCACAGCTACCATTTGTTTTGTGTTTAGAGCGTGGCGGCCGTCCTGAACAACCTTCTCGAGTCTTTCCGAAAGACGTTTTGAATAAGCCAAGGAATGGCAAGCAGCCCTTGTCATTCTTGCAGTGAAAGTACCAATTTGATATTCGACCCCATATCTATCAGTAATATCAATTCTAATCTCATTTCCAAACTCATGTTGCTCCACCCATATTTCCTTTGCCGAATCAACAGCAGACTCACTGCATTCTTTCACACCAATTGATTTCAGTGTCGGTATATCTCCAATTCCTGAAGGGATCTCCTCCAATAAACGTAAATTATTAAGTTGAAGCTTCTCAAGAATAGGGAAGTGCACCGATTCTGCTCTCCAAAACATTAAATCATTATAGGCAATGTCCAATTCTTTCAGGCGAAGAAATTCCCCTTGAACAGGCTCCCACACTAACCTCGGCACGCCACCAGATATCTCAAGTGTTTCAAGACTCGGCAGCAAACCAAGAATCGACATATCTTCCCATGCCATTCTGCAATTGATCAAACGCAATTCCTTGAGGGAATTAGCGAAGGTCATCTTCTCCAAGCATTCTCTTATACATAGAAATTCAAGTTTCTGTAGTTGCTCAAGATTACATAGAGAATAGTTCAGCTGTTTCACACCCCTCTTAGATCCATCTTCATAATCAACGTCCAACTCCTTCAAATATGGGATCCGATCAATGACTTGTTTGGAACAATTGAAATTACGCATTCCATCTAAGGTGTGAAGGTCCTTCAGGATAATAAAATCTTCCCCCTCAAATACAGTGGCTATAGGATCTGGTAGATGAACTCTTCCGTGTAGACATCGAATCTCTCTTAGTTGTGGCATCTCCCATATCTCTATAGATAAATCTGTAGTTGGGATTGAAATGCTTAACCTTTGAAGATTCCAAAGTAATGTTGAAGGAGAGAATGGTTCCATCACCAGTATATCAACACAACGCAATTCTATTGGCTGCAAAATTTCTGTGTCCAAACCATCATTGTAATTTGCATTCTTTACTAAATTATGTCTTTTAATATGCGAATACACCATCCTACAAGCATCGCATACAAGAGGATTAACTTGTGACGATAATCCAAATACATAAAATGGTCGCACTATATGAATTCCTTCTTTGTCCTTGAGTCTTTCTTGACAAAGATTACAGCGCACATCTCCTACAAACCATCTTTGAACTCTTTGCCTTCTAGGAAATTGGAGAAAACATTCATTTTCAGATTCTCTTAAACAGATATCCCGTAAAAGATCATGAATGCCACACAAACGTAATCCAGCCCAACTGTATATTAGATTTCTGTCTAAGAGACTTTCTACATACTCCTGTGCAATATCTTCCAAACTTCTATATCTCTTTGATTTAATGAATCCTTCAGCAATCCAAAAGTTGATTAGCTCTGAGACTACAATCCCACTATCTTCACGAAAAACTCTCAAATATAAAAAACATGGTTTGAGATGAATGGGTAAACTCTCATAACTTAGAGATAATACTTTCCGACAATGCTCATCATATCCCAAATTAGCAAGCGAGCTAAAGTTATTTACAATATTCTCCCAATATTTTACAGTCATGTCAGAATTCGCAAGAAATCGACCAACAACAACAATTTCCAAAGGAAGCCCTCTACAACTTTTTGCAATGTCCTTTGCAAACTTCTCTAAATGACTGTATGGACAACCATTTTGAGAAAAAGCATTTTGACAGAATAAACTCCAACTTTCTTTCTCATCTAAAAATGTTAATAGATAGGGATCACGAGTACCCAAAGAAGTAGCCATGTTTGAGAGTCTAGTCGTCAACAAAATACGACTTCCATCCTCATTGTCAGGAAAATACCTCCGTAAATCATCCCAAGCTCCTCTTGACCACATGTCATCCATAACAATCAAGTACCTTCTACCGAATAATTTTTGGTAGAATCTAGTTCCCAACTCATCTAAACTTTCACATATTTCGTTTTCTCCTGCCTTTCCTTCGAGACCAACTTTAAGGATTTGTTCAGCACTATATTCTTGCGATATAGTAAGCCAGATGCGTAAATCAAAGTGGTCGACAACAAATGAATCTTCAAAGAGACTTTTAGCGAGAGTGGTCTTACCAATACCTCCCATACCGACAACCGGAAGGATTTCAAGATTAGATCTACCTCTGACGAGGTTGTCCCTTATCCTGTTCACATGCTCATCCAGTCCAACCACAACATTGCTGACATATGAAGCAGCTGCAGACGAACCACCAGCAGCAACAGAATCATAATTGGATTGCTTTTGGGCTTGAGCATCCTCCCCCTCTTCTTCGATCACCGGAAACTCTTTTTGAATGGAACAAAACTTTTGGATCAGTGTCTCCATTTCATCACAGAATGCTGAGAAGTTTGAAGTATCACTCGTTTCTCCTTGAAATTTGGCATAGAGTAGATTGCCTACATGGAAGTTGATGTCAGTTTCTGCTTCAGCGGCAGCCTCTGCCATTTTCCTCCACAAACCTTGAAGCTCCGGGATCTTCTTTTCGGAATGAAGCTCGACAAATTCCAGCAAGGAATTGACATTTTCCTGGAGAGATTCGACTTGATGGATGTCAGCACGAGGGATATGAAATTGGGCACGATAGTGGAGATTTTCGAGGACATGAGTGAGAGAAACCAAGGATGCATAAGCAGCAACAGCCATGTCTCCAAGATAATGAAGATCGAAATTAAGACACAGATGAATTCAGATGAAGAATTGAAGATGAAGATGTAGTAGGGAGAGAGGTCGCGGTTGAGATGTATGAAAGACATATTTTGCGAGAGGAGTGGTTCAAGTTGACATGTATGAGAGGAAATAAGAAACGTTATCTTTAACGAGTGATGCTGATAATTCCATGCTCGGTAATGACTTCTAATTTACTTCATTTTAAGGATTTGGCCTATGTTTTCTTGATTGCATTACGATTTTTTTTTTTTTTTTAATAGCTTTTTATTTGATATGAATAAATATTTTATATAAAATTGAACTAAAAATAAAAATTTTAATGTAATATTTGAAAATTTAAAATAGATACAGATTTAGTAATTTTATGGGAAAAAAAAAATAAAAATGAATAACATATTATACTATCCATTTTAAAAACACAAACAATTATAATGAAGTTAATATAAATATACACCAAAGATGAATTTAGTTACCAAATATTTGGGATGGCCAACCAAATATTTTTACTAATAGATTTAGATAAAAATGTTTGAGAATCATTAAAATGAATACACATGCAAAATATTAGAGTTTTTGGACCTTCATATGAGAGCGATCAAACCAAATATTTTTACTAGTCTAATACTTATAAATATGGATCGGTACGGATGGCTACCTGTTTTGTCTCTTTAAGGGTGCGTTTGGTAATTAGCTGATAGCTTTTAGCTGTTAGCTGATTCAATAGCCGTTAGCTGTTAGCTGATTCAATAGCCGTTAGTTGTTACCTGGTTTGACTAGCTGATTCAATTACGGTTTTTTTTTTTTTTTTGGCTGGGCTCAAAGAGCTGCCTACGTACCCAAACGAGATCAAGCCATACGTAGTTCTAAAAGTTTGTGCGTACAATGTCGAAAAAGGGTAAAGCAGTAAAAAGAAACTTATAAAAGCAAGTAAAAGCTAATGAAAGCGAAAGCACGGAAGGCCCACTGCGTCAGCATGGATGAAGCCACGAGTCCTCGCAGGAATGTCCGTTGGCTCCAGAATCCGCATATGAGGAAAAGAGACTGATGTGGCCGCAAGGTTATCCGCCACTTTATTGCCCTCGCGGTAGATATGGGAGATCCTCCAACGATGGTGCGTAGTTGTAGACGCAGGTGATGGAGACAAGGTTGGAGGGTCCAATGTCCCGCCGAGGAGGAGAGTAAAGAGATACTGCTGGCGGAGTCCGTCTTAATCCATAGAGGGAGGAGGCCTCGCGCCACTGCTAAGTCCACGCCAGATCGAATTGCCTGCAACTCAGCCAAAGTATTTGTCGCGTGGGGGAGTGGGACCTGGAAGGCCACAAGGGGAGCGCCCGTGGCGTCCTGAATAATGCCCGCAGTCCCAGCAGCACCTGGATTTCCAAGTGATGCCCCATCAGTGTTGAGTTTGAACCATCCCGGAGTAGGAGCTTCCCAGTGCACTAAAACCGGCGGCCGAGGAACCGGGGGCGGGAGGCGAAGGCCAAGACGAGAAGCAAGGTGGAAATCCCCTGACCAATGTTGTCGCTGAAGTAGGCCAGCACGCCAAAGGACCTGCAAATGAGAGTGAACACGCCAAATAATCCGGTCAGACGAAATCTGTATACCTCGGTGTTTGGCGTCGTTCCGTGCCGTCCAAAGAAACCAAAAAACCAGAAGAGGGATAGAGGCACGGATGTTCCGCACATGAGGGGAGGACAGGCGCCAAGCAGAAACCATGAGGTGGGGCGCATGGGTCCCTGGGAGCTGGATGCGAAATAAGTCGGCGAAATGATGCCACACACGTTGCGCAACCGCCGACGAGAAGAATAAGTGCTCGATCGTCTCAGACTCCCGACAACACTGGCAGCGAGAAACAATATGAAGGCCCATCTTCGTTAAGGCCTCATCGACGGGTATCCGACGGCGAAATAAATGCCATAGGAAAACCGACATTGTAGGAGTAAGAAGCGGCGACCATAGACTGCAAGAAAGCTAGCTCCGAGCCCCAACTGTGCGGCTCATCTCCCAAGCAGAAGTCGTAGAAAAAAAACCTGCAGTCGAGGACTTCCAGATTGGCTGATCCGCAGTCAGGGGATAAAAAAGAATCGCAGAGACCTGCTGAACAAGTGTTGCCAGAAGGTAGGCCCGAAGGTGCGTCAAATCCCACGTCCCATTTGACCACATCTCTTTCACCCGTATCGGCGGGGGACGGTCCTGGCGGTCCGTGCAGAGAGGGCGATCACCACACCAAGTATCATACCAGAAGAAGCACTCCCCACGTCCCAAATTCCAAATGATCTGAGTCTGTGCCTCATCTCGAACCTGGCAGAGACGCTTCCATACCGGACTGTCGTAGCTTTGGCAAGGTGCAAAGCCTGGGAAGGAGTTGCGAAAATACTTCTGTTGAAGCGCACGAGCCCAAAGGGAGGTTCCCTCTCTGAGCCGCCACCACAGTTTAAACGAGAATGCCCGAACCATATCAGACAGGCGGCGAATGCCAAGCCCACCCTCCTCTTGTGGCCGTGTAATGTCCGCCCAGGAGATCCAATGGCGGCGGCGGTGCCCGTGATAAGAGCCCCAGAAAAAACGAGTAAAAAGCTGCTCCACAGAATGAAGGACAGTCTAGGGGGCAAAGTACCTGCAGCAGATAGAGGGGGAGCGAGAACAGAGTGCTCCTGATCAACTGTAAGCGACCCCCATGTGATAGGACCGATCGATCCCAACGCTGCAGATAGCGACGGAGCTTCCCAATCAGTTCCTCATAAAGAATATTACGCCGATTGCCCACATAGAGCGGTGCACCGAGATATGTAAGGGGAAGTCCAGCCTTGCTGAAACCAGTCACAGATTGAAGCTGCCGCTGTACACTCTCCGGGCACTGGCGACTGAAGATAAATTGGCTTTTCTGACAGTTCACCTTATGACCAGTAATCCGTGCATAGGTCGTCAAAATTTCCGTCAGAAGGTTGATGTGATCGCCACAGGTATTAGCAAATATGAGGACATCATCCGCAAAGGCTAGGTGCATCAACCGGAACCGACCACGACACCGGTAGTACAGATCCGGGACATGACTGTATAGGCGCTCCAAGCCGCGCGATAAAAGATCTGCAGCCAAAACAAACAGGGTCGGGGACAAGGAGTCTCCCTGCCTAAGGCCTCGCGAGGAGGGAAAGAACCCACCCAGGTCCCCATTCACAAGGATCGAGTACCAAGCATGCTCAACACAATTCATGATCAAGGTGATGAAATGAACCGGGAAACCGAACCTGGTAAGGGCATGCCGTAAGAACCGCCACGAGACCCGATCGTATGCCTTGTTAAGGTCCAATTTCAGCAATAAGTTATGCGATTCACCCCGCAGATTGAGATCATGGACCATTTCCGAAGCCAGCAGGATATTGTCAGCGATCGCTTGGCCTTGGACAAAGCCACTCTGATGCGGTGATATGAGCTGCGGCGGAAGCGGGCCAAGGCGCATGGTTAGAAGCTTTGTGAAGATCTTACTACTCACATTACAGAGGCTGATAGGTCGATAATCAGCCCAAGCGAGTGGTCCGTCCTTCTTGGGGATAAGCATAAGAGTCGTCGCCGTATAGAACTTCAGGAGAGGAGTTCCCAAAAAAAAATCCCGTACAGCATCAAACACATCCTCCTGGATAATATCCCAACACTTTTGGTAGAAGGCGGCAGAGAAGCCATCAGGGCCAGCCACACTATCCTGATCAATCGAGAAAACCACAGCACGAACCTCCGCAAGCGTAGGCAGCGCAAGCAACCGAGTGTACTCGGCCGGCGGGACCTGGGGCGGTGGATCCGCCAAGCATCCATTCCCGAGGTGTCGGCATCATCAGGCTGTCCCAGCATCTCAAAGAAATAGGTGATGGCAGAACGCTTAATATCTGAGTGATCAGTAAGAGTACGAGCACCGTCCGCCATTGAGAAAATCGTCGCCCGCCGGCGTCATTCCTTCACCATGGAGTGGAACATACGGGAGTTCCGCTCTCCCTCGACCGCCCACCGACAGGCTGCTTTTTGTTTCCAGAAAGCCTCCTCCAGTGCAATCGCATGTGTCAGAGCCGCAGCGCTACGTTGATGACAGAGGAGGTTGGCGTCAGAGGGATCCCGATCGAAATCTGTTTCGCACTCCTCTGCGTTTTTCTCTGCTGCCGCCAGTACCTGAAAAGCATTACCAAATACCTGTTTGTTCCACCACTTTAGAGCCTGCTTGAGGCATCCAAGTTTCAGTTGCAGGTTGAGGAGACCGGTGGTACCCGTCGGGACAGCCCAACTCTGGCGGACGTGGTCTTGGAAGGTGTGGTGTCTGGTCCACATGTTCTGAAACCGGAATGCAGGCAAGGCGGTGTCGTTCATGCGAGAACCAGACCAAGAGCGGGGCGTGATCCGAATGCATCCGCGGGAGGTGTCTGACTCGAGTCGTCTCGGCAAAATCCTCCCAGGCAGTATTGTAGAGAATGTGGTCAAGGCGCTCCCAAACTCGCCGATTTGTCCATTTATGGGGAGAGCCCTCGAAACCAGCATCAATAAGATTCGCATCAAGGATAGCCGCTGAGAAATCCTTAATAGAGCGCAACTTAGGGCGACCTGGGCCCTTCCGTTCAGATATGTCTGCGATGGCATTAAAGTCGCCACCGATCAGCCAATGAGACCCCAATGACGAGGCCACCGTGTCCTGCAAGAAAGACCAAAGGGCACGGCGCTGGGTGACAGAGCATCGCGCATAGATCCCAGATATAAAAAGGGGCGGCGGTGCTGCGGAGACGAACCCTGCACATGAAGACACTGATCGATCTCCGAGATGGGCTCCAGTTTATAGGAGGCATCAGCAAGAATCCAGATAGAATTGACCGCGTTGGTAAGCATCTGGGAGAAACCAAACCGCCGGCAAAAGAATGCAACGTCCGCTATAACCATAGGCTCAAGAAGAATAAGAAGGCGGATACGGTGTTGCTTGCAGAGCCAATGTACCTCTCGTTGAGCTCGGGGGTTGCCAACCCCACGCACATTCCAAACCAAGAGGGAAGTATCTGTCATCGAGAACCAGCAGAAGGGCGACGAGAGGAACTTACTTGTTGACGAGAGATGCTGCGGGTAACCGGTCTAGA